CACATAAAAACATTACAAAAAATAAACTACAAATACATATAAATATAACATAATATTATTATACAGATTTATTAATACAACATAAAGTTCTTAAAAAAAATTACAAGCACACATAAATATTACACAAATTAAAATACTACAACAATACTAATAATCAGGCAAATTTGATCCTGAACCTCCAAGACCACCAAAATATTGTCCATATATATCATTTCGAAAGGCATTGATTGATCATATATGGGAGTATTACAGAAACAATGTTAGTGAATAATTTAGTATTCTATTTTGCTATTTCTAATTATGTTTGTGTGTTTTTTATAATATTAATGATGTTTAATTAATTAATATTATCTGTAATTTTTAATGTGTGTTTTATTGATATTTATATTATTTAATGAGTTTAGCTAATTATTATAAAAAGTAAGGACTATAATGCAAAGTATAAAGTTTTTGAAGTTTATTTTGAAGTGTCACTCTTGGAGAGAAACAGCTAAAACTTCAAATTTGAAGTTTCTGGATCTTCAAAAATGAAGTCTCTCTTGGAGATGCCCTTAAAACATCTCCAATGGTGCTCTATATCTTACTCTAAACTCTATTTTTAGAGTAAAATGAACTGCAATGGTACTCTATATATTGGTCTATAAATAGAGAAATGAACAGTGTTGCTCTATATTTGGAGCAACACTGTTCATTGCTCTATTTTTAGAGCAGAATTTTTTTATTTACAAAACAATCCTCTAATTTTAATATCTTTTTATTTTATACCTAAACAATAATATAAGTAATAATATTACACTGAATTTAATTTATACTACTAATAACTTATTATAAAATTATTTTAACTTAAATTTTAATAACAATATATATTTTAAATTTTTAAAATTATTTTAACTCAAAATAAAATAGAAAGAATATTTTTAAAATTTTAAAAATAGAAGGCCTTATCAGCAATGAATACTAAAAAATAAAATATAATATTTATTTTTAGAGTTAGATATAGAGATGACCATTGGAGTAAACCCCTTCTCTATTTTTACTTAGAAAACTCTATATTTAGAGCCAAAAATAGAGTCAACCATTGGAGATACTCTTATAACTTCAAATATAAGGTTTTATGTACTTTAAGAGATACCTTAAAACCTCAAATTTTGAGGTGTTGAACAGTGACACCTTATATTTGAGGTTTCACTGTTCAACACCTCAAATTTGAGGTGTCATCTTTTTTATTTACATTTCAGTCTTTTCAGTTATATGTTTTAAAATTAATCATAATAACTTTTGTGTTTATCATTTCAACTCTTCTAATTTAATATCTTATTAATATTTCACATATATCTTTATGGATAAATTATATATACACATAAAAGTTTTAAAAATAATTTAAAATAAAAATAATAATGACAAATAGTAGTAATTTTGATTGATAGAAGCATTATGGTAGTAGTTTAATTGAATAAATTGATATTTTGTTTGTAATTTATGATTTAATTTGTGTATATTATTATTATTTATATGTAATATTATATTAAAATTGTATTAATTAATATTGCCTATAATATTTTTTAATATGTGTTTTTATAGTTATATCAAAGTTTTATGATTTTAATTAATTATTATTAATAATAAGGATTAAAATGCAAAGTATAATATTTTTAAGGTATTATTAATAGTGAAGACTAAAATGCAAAATATAATATTTTTATTATTAGAGAGCATCATCCTCAAACCTCAAATATAAGATTTTTCATACATTAAAAATACAGTGTATTTTGAAGATGTTCGTAGAAAGGTGATAGGCTGATAGCAAAGCACTAAAGCAGTTCTGATATTTCATAAAAGAAAACAAAAGATAAATTTTTTGGTGAAAACTGAAAAAAAAAACCTTTGTTTCTCTCTTATCATTCTCCTGTGTTCTTTTTTTCACTCTCAATTAATGAGATCCCAACCATTCTCTATAGCTACTTCTCAGTAAACTGACTATTTCTCTCTCTGTCTCTCTGCTCTCTCTCTGTCTCTCGCACTTCCCACACTCCTTGTCTGTGAATCAACTGTTCTTGATTTCAGAATCACCCAACAATACAAAGGTGAGTTCTTTTCCTTTTAAGTCGCTCATATTTTCTAAATTTGATGTCGAATCGTCTGTTTCTCTTTATGGGTTTCTTGTTGTTACCTTTTTGAAGGCATCTGTCTGGTCCGCTTCGTATGATCTGCTCAAACATTTAGTTTTTATCCTCTTCATCACTCTGCACTAGTTTGGTTTCCGGGAAATTTCAGAGGAAAATCTTTTCCCCGAGTTACTTTACGTACATTGGATTCCTATAAAGTGAATAGCTTTACCCCAAGCTTTATTGTTGCTTAGTCTCTGTTCTTCAGAATTTGCATTTACGTGTCTAGTTCCTGAATTATAGAGCTAAAAAAAAATTAAACGAAATATCTAGAGAGAATTTGGATTTTGCCAACTAGAGTTCCTTCTACTGATCTGCTTCAGGATGTTTCAGTTCTCACTATTCAGATAAAACGCCATTTTCTCTAAAACATTATAGAACTACCTCATGGGTTTAGTTTCTAGGTGGAAAATGTAAAAGAATAATATGATTATCAGATAGAAAATTGATGATTTACGCCTGTAGAATATGAAAGATGTACAGAACCATTGTGTGTCTTCGACTAATGTGTACATAGACATGTGGGCAAACTATGTTCTTCATCTTGTCTACTTCTTTCAGTATCTTTTTTTGTTACATATTTTTCCTGTTTTGTGATTCATGTAGGTCCTACTTATATTATTTTATCACAGAGATTAGTAAACAAGACCAGAACATAGATTAATAAGCTCCAAAGGCTGGTAATGTGTCAGTGAGAAACAATGAAGACAGTCTATTTAGTAATGTATATACTCTATTCTATTGCTAACATCACATGTTGGAATTTGGTCTTTATGACATGTTGAGGCTTACTGAAACTGCAGTAAAACTAGTTAGTTAATTAACTATTCTCTGTATTGTTTTCAGGTCATATAGAAGTAAATACTATTAATCGAAACACTCTTGTAAAAGCTCTCTGCTTGACAAAATTTTCTGCTTAAGCATAATATTGGAGATCTGTTTTTGGTACAAAAGCATAGTTCTATAGAAAGATCTTATCTTCTTCGCTGGGATTGAACAATGGGGGGTTGTGTGTCGACTAGTAGTAAGAGTACTTGCAGTAGCTGGAGCAATGGAGAGAACCCTGTGCGTCGACCATATCTGGGGATCCGTTGTTGTATGAGCAAAAGGGCCAAGAGAACGTTTTCAGACCACATAGTCTCATTGCAAAACCTGAGCTCTGTACCAAATCGGATCATCACCAGCAGCAAGAGCAGGAGCTCTTGCATTTTCACTCAACAAGGACGCAAGGGTATTAATCAGGACGCCATGATTGTGTGGGAAGTGAGTTCTTCTCTCTCTCTCTCCTTTTTTGTATTTCTAACAATGTGGATAACTATAAAGCGGGGCTTGGTATTGCGTTGTAGGATTTTATGTCTGAAGATGTGACCTTTTGTGGTGTATTTGATGGTCATGGTCCTTATGGTCATCTTGTTGCTCGTAAAGTGAGAGACACATTGCCTGTGAAGTTGCAGTCTTTCTTTCATACGCTTCAGTCGAAGCAAAATGGTTCTAAAGGAACTCGATTCAGAAGAAATTTTAGCAAATCAGCTGTCCAAGAAGCTGTTAAAGAAGGATCTGATGAGGATAGACTAAAAGGCTTGTGGGGAGAAGCTTTCTTGAAATCGTTTAAAGCCATGGATAAGGAACTACGGTCTCATCCTAATGTGGACTGTTTCTGTAGTGGCAGCACTGCTGTTACAATTCTCAAACAGGTAAACCTGAAGAACAAAAGAGCTCTCTTTTCGGCTTCAGTCATGTTTTCCTCTGATCTAAGAAGTTGTCTGTTGATTGTTCAGGGGTCTAATCTCTTCATGGGAAACATTGGGGATTCTCGGGCCATCCTTGGATCAAAAGACCACAATGACACTATGGTGGCAACTCAACTAACAGTTGATCTGAAGCCAGATTTACCGAGTATGTGATACTCAACACCTTTTCGCAATCTGTTTTTTCTTTTAGTCTAATTATGATGTTACTGTTTTGTATGGTATGATAGGGGAAGCTGAGAGGATCAAACGGTGTAAAGGTCGAGTCTTTGCGCTGGAAGATGAGCCAGAGGTGTCGAGAGTTTGGCTACCTTTTGATGATGCTCCTGGATTGGCCATGGCTAGGGCGTTTGGTGATTTTTGTCTGAAAGAGTACGGAGTCATTTCCATACCCGAGTTCACTCACCGTGTTCTTACAGACAAAGATCAATTCATTGTTCTTGCCTCAGATGGAGTAAGCAAGCAAATGACTTTATCGGTTTTTGGGCCTCAAGACAGAGGTTTTACTGATCCGTGAGCTTTGATTGAACAGGTTTGGGATGTGCTAAGCAACGAAGAAGTGGTTGATATTGTAGCTTCAGCTTCAAGCCGGGCATCAGCAGCTAGGATCTTGGTGAACTCGGCTGCGCGTGAATGGAAACTGAAGTACCCAACTTCGAAAATGGACGATTGTGCAGTGGTGTGTTTGTTTCTTGATGGGAAAATGGATTCTGAGTCGGATTACGATGAACATGGCTTCTCTTCAGCCACAAATGCAGTAGAATCAGATGATGGCCAAAGATCAGAACCATGTCTACAAAGAAACTTCACAGTTAGATCATCATCAGATCATGAAAATGATACTTACGGTAATTTGAATACAGAGACTGATGCAGAGGATGAGAAAACTGTAGGAGATCAAAACTGGTTGGGGCTAGAAGGTGTTACACGAGTGAACTCACTCGTTCAGCTTCCGAGATTCTCTAAAGACAAGTCCAAGACTTGAGATTAGCTTTTAATGTTCTTTCTGAGAACTGATCTTGAAAAAACTATGTTTGTCGTGAGCATTGTGAACCGCTCAATCTGTCTTTTTCTTTTTTGGCTGGGGTTTCGTGTTTGATGTATTGCACAATAGATTTGCCACATTGATTCTCTCTTGGAATCCATAATCAAATGTATATATACATGTTTTAGGTTTCTATCTATACAAGAAAAAGAAAAAACTGTGCTTGATGTTCTTCATCACCTTGTGCTATCAGTATATAAGATCTTCAGATATCTCCTAGTCCTGTAGTATTTGCAGATAACAAAACAGCTTAGAATAACGATCAGATCAAACATCCAAATGGTCAAGATTGAAATTCGAAGAGAGATTCTTGAAACAAAAGGAACAGTTATAAACCTCGTTCAAGTGAGTACTGGAGCTTGTTTCCCCTAATGCTTGCGCCTCTGCCTTTTCATTAGAGTAACTTCCAAGAATTCAAAATGAAAATCAGGTAATGACAATGGCGAGACTAAACTCCTCGTCATGATAGTATGTGCAATATGTTCAAATAGACTGGAAACAAAAAAAAAATGAAAGATGAAGGAAAACTCACGTCGACAGTATAGTGACCCAAATGAGTTCAATACAATCAACCCAAAGAAGTCTTTGGTCTACAGGAATTACACCGTATGTAACCAAGTGAGCCAATGGCCAGAGTTTCCAGCCTGCCTGCACAAACAAAATCATGACAAAATACATTTAGAAAAAGTGAAAAAAAGAGACTCAACTTAAGCTTTACATGATTATTATGAAGAAGACAAAGGCAAGGAGAGATAATTACAGTGATCATTGGCCAAAATGTCGTCTTGATTTCGCTGAAAACCTCAGCTGGGGATTGGAAACGCAGGAGACCTAAAACTGTAAAGTAGATAGTGTTCCAAATTGCTGACCATACGGTTTGATCAAACGCCACTTTTGCAGGGACTACCCACCATTCTTGGAAAGGAAATAGAGCCTTGTAAACAAAAAAAGGATATTGTATCAATAACATGTTGATTACAACCGATCTTGACAGAAAAAGATTGACTTTTTTTTTGTTTTTAATACCTCGCAGAACTGGTAGTAATAATGAGAGAGTGAACCATGGAGGGTGAATCCAACAAGACCTGATCTAAGTACACGAGTTCGATCAAACTCAAACAGCGGTTTTCCCTCGTAACACTACGTAAATTGATAGCCAAATGGTCAGAGAGAACTCAAATTGAGAAGCCTTTTAAGAGGGGTTTTTTAGTTTTTCTTACTTGTGCAATCCAATCTCCTAGAGAATACACAATTCCACTGATGGCCATTTTCGCCAAAACTGGGTTTGTTTTGAGGATTTGTTCATATGCAACCCAGTTGTGTTCAGGTGCATACCTAAGTATCTCGTACAGAGTCCAACCCTAACAAGGACATTATAACAAACAATGATTACATAAAAATTTCAAAGGAGAAAGCTTTGCAGAAATCGAATAATCAATTAATCATAGGAGAGAAAAGTTCTAAGCTTACATGCCAATAGTCATGATCGATAGATAAAAGCTTAGTAACCGCAACAGTACCGGCGGCGAGAACTATGGCCGCGTTGATTCCTCGACTCATCAGCCGATCCGAGTCTTTATCTTTTTCTTCTTCTTCTTCTTCTTCATATTTTTCTTCTTCTGGCTTGAAACTGTCACTTTTAACATCAATTGATGTTCCTCTATCTTCAATAATGGATCCAACGATCAAACTTTTTCTCCCGGTAAATATCAATCGTTTCTGTTTCTTTAACCGATTGAGTCTAGGGGATTGATTATGGGTTCTAATCCGTGGAGAAAGCTTCCCTGAGAGGACGATGGTGGTCGAACAACATAGAGCTGCCATGGGCTTTACACTTCTCAAAGGAAGAACCTTTGCAAATTTTCTCTTCTCGTTGGCTCTCACCGCGAAAAGGTGAGAAAGTTCGTCGGCCAAAAAAATGCAGACTTTATTGACCGACTCGGTAGTACATATTTCGGTTGAATTAAACCGGCCGGTTTGCAACTCCAAGGGAGAAAAAAAAAGGTCCTACCGAGAATTGAACTCGGGTTACTGGATTCAGAGTCCAATGTCCTAACCGCTAGACCATAGGACCGGTTGCAACCAGTCGCAACAGGTTTGTTTAAGACCAAGACATGTTACAAAGGACTATACACACCGTGGTCGCCGGCACTACCGCAGTTTGGGAAAGATCCCGATCATAAGAGTTGAGCGGAAGCCACTTTCCGTATAAGTTGGGCAAGCCGCAAGCGTGAAGACGACTCGTGATGTAGCCTTTTCCATGAGTGAGCCAAATTCTCTACCTCCTCGATGGTTCGGCTTCCACGGAATCTAATCTAGACGGGTTCTGCTCCAAGCTCCTTAAATCGGATTTCTTAGCTATTGATGGAAAGCTTGAGATGGTAGAAGAGGGAGAAAATGAGATCGAACCCACTTTATATACTTGTTCATTGGTCCGAAAAAGCACGTCTTTGAGGTTATTTACAGTTGCAGGATCAGACCATATGTTGTTGTTACTCGCAACAGGCATGAATTGTAAGGTAGTGTACCCCAATAAAGCTGTGGAGAAACTTAGAGCTATGGAGACTGGATAATTTGGAGCTCGGTTAGATTGAATATATGACGATGATCCATGTATGTTTATGCAGAGAGTGTAGCTATGTATCAAGAAACTGAGGAGAATGGGCTATTGGGTTCTGCCTAATGCATATAGCTTCTTGATTGGAGACTCTGCAAAATGAGGAGGAATTACAGACTGGTAATGTAGTTGGCACGTTTTTTGTATGGCATCTCGGAGATGAGATGAGCTATTGACGTTTCTGTTTTTGGCTCTCATATCAAAGTTAATTCCTTTACGGAGAGAGCTTGATAGGATGTTTAGGGAATTAATCAGCCATCAAGATATTTAGGAAAGATTCGTTGACCTGCAAACCTTGATGGATATTTTGTGGTTAGCTACACGGAAAAGGGAGAGAGAAAGAGACTTTAATGTTTGATCCATTCAAAGTGGTGGTGGGCCTGTGAAGGTTGAGGCTGAGGGAAGAGCCAGCCTGCACCAAGGAAAAAAAAATCTTGTGCAACATGTGATGGCTAGTAGCATGGCCCTACTTGCTTACCCAGATATGTGCAGAGAAAGAAACATCAAGGATTGGCCACATTTTAGAAAGAACAAAAAATTCTATTGCTAGATTGCTCAAATACTAGATGTTAATAATGAGCTCTCTTGATTTAATCTTTGCCTAATACTTGGCTATATTCTCTGAATTATTGAAGGAAATGAGTTGAAAGAGATGTCACAAGATCAAGGGGTTTTGATTTCTAGGAGGCAAGACGCTAATCATGGGACCACACTGGATGAGGTTGTAAGATACATTGTGGTTAAGGTTGGTTCCTGGAGCACATGTTGAGACAGTGATACTCTTGGGTCTGTGAAAACACATTAATAGCTATAATAAGTGAAGATAGAACCTGTGGACGGTAATCTCCGTGACATTTATGGAGGTATCTGAGATGTGTTTTCATATTTTAAAGACAAATAAGGAGACACGAAAAGGTGAGAACCATAATACACAGAAAGAAAATCTCACTTCTATTTGTCTCAAGACAAAGAGAGTGGTCAATGACCACTACTCTCGCCTATATGTTGCCTTAAGAATTCTACTCATTTTGCATCGCTGAGATACAACAAAAGTGCCTTAAAAGCCTAATCTTGGATGGAAACTGTAGAAGCTGGGTATGATGATGTTATTGGTTGGTTCGAGTGTGTGTCCGAGAAAGCCTGCAAGGCTCAAAGCGAGACGCTGCGCCGGATTCTTGAGCTCAACTCCGGAGTGGAGTATCTGAGGAAATGGCTTGGGACTCCTAATGTAGAGGAGATGGACGATTACACCTTGGAAACTCTCTTTACTTCCTTGGTGCCTATTGTTTCACATGCTGATTTAGATCCTTATATTCAAAGAATTGCAGATGGAGAGACTTCTCCTTTACTTACTCAAGAGCCCATCACTGTTTTGTCCCTCAGGTTTATTTCTATATTCATGAGTATATGCATCTTTGGATTTGTGTATGTGTGTGTGTGTGTGTGTGTTTGTGATATATGTTCACTCTTATCCCTTTTTGACAAAGCTCTGGAACAACAGAAGGGAGACAAAAGTATGTTCCGTTTACTCGCCATAGTTCGCAAACTACTCTTCAAATTTTCAGATTATCAGCGGCTTACAGATCAAGGTTTCCTTTCCATTTCTTGTCCTTTCTTTTTCCATGAAAAAAGTCTTTTATCTGCTCACCAGCTCCTACTATGCTTTTTCTTAAAGGTTTTATCCAATAAAGGAAGGAGGAAGGATTCTTGAGTTTATATACGCTGGGAAGGAATTTAAGACGCTAGGAGGATTGACTGTAGGAACGGCCACAACACATTACTATGCGAGCAAAGAGTTTAAAGCTAAGCAAGAGACAACAAAGTCCTTCACTTGTAGCCCACAAGAGGTCATCTCGGGAGGTGATTTCGGGCAGTCCACGTACTGTCATCTCATACTTGGTCTCCATTTCTCTACTCAAGTAGAGTTTGTGGCCTCTGCTTTTTCCTACACCATTGTCCAAGCTTTCTCCTTTTTCCAAGAAGTCTGGAGAGAGATATGTGCTGACATCAAGGAAGGCAATCTTAGCTCAAGAATCACTCTGCCCAATATGAGAAAAGCTGTATTGGCTCTGATCAGACCAAACCCATCTCTTGCTTCTCATATTGAAGAGATCTGCTTAGAGCTGGAATCAAGTCTCGGATGGTTGGGTTTGATTCCTAAACTATGGCCAAACGCAAAATACATCTCTTCAATCATGACAGGTTCCATGTTGCCATACCTGAAAAAGCTGAGACATTATGCTGGCGGTTTGCCTCTGGTGAGCGCAGATTATGGGTCAACAGAGAGCTGGATCGGCGTGAACGTTGATCCTCATCTTCCCCCAGAAGACGTGAGCTTTGCTGTGATTCCCACTTTTAGTTACTTCGAGTTTATACCACTTTACAGGCAGCAGAATCATCAAGACGTATCTACTGATGTCGACTTTGTCGAAGAAAAACCTGTGCCCCTCTCTCAAGTCAAACTCGGACAGGAGTACGAGCTTGTTCTTACCACTTTCACAGGTAAAGGCAAAACTCCGTAGCATTTTCCAAAGTCAATAAGTAACGAGCTTGCGCCTCATCTTTCCTCTGTATCTTCACTTGCTCTGTTTTATTCAGGTCTTTACAGGTACAGATTAGGAGACGTCGTTGAAGTGACTGGTTTTTACAAAGGCACACCAAAGCTAAGTTTCATATACAGAAGAAAACTCATCTTAACCATCAACATTGACAAGAACACAGAGAAGGATCTTCAGAGAGTAGTCGACAAGGCGTCTCAGCTGCTGAGCCGAACCACACAAGCCGAAGTTGTTGACTTTACGAGCCACGCAGACGTTACAGCTCGTCCTGGTCACTACATAATCTACTGGGAAATCAGAGGAGAAGCAGAGGATAAGGCTCTTGAAGAATGTTGCAGAGAGATGGATGCTGGTTTTGTGGACCATGGTTACGTTGTGTCGAGGCGTATGAAGTCGATCGGACCGCTCGAGCTACGTGTGGTGGAAGGAGGCACGTTTGGGAAAGTGGCGGAAATGTGCGTTGGGAAATGTGGTGGCTTGAACCAGTTTAAGACTCCTAGGTGTACGACCAATTCGGTTATGCTTAACATACTTGATGATTCTACTGTCAAGAGATTCCGCAGTTCAGCTTATGACTAGAGAAACCAGTTTTTAAAAATTTAGTTTGGTGTTTTTTTTGTCTCCCTGATTCCAATGGCGGCTGTGTTAGTCTACTCAGATTTGACCATTTACAAGGAATAATAAAAGAATAATGTTAAATCTTTGGTTAAAATATTGAGTATCTAAATTTTATTATTTCAACAAATTAAGGTTAGAATGAAAGCTAACAGAACACTACTTATGCCTGAAATGAGAGATATGACAGTAGTGAGCATTCAGTGCGTAGGCGAGAGGTAATGTGTAGTTTACTACTCTCTCCGTTTCACAAAGAGTGTCGTTCTTTGTGAAACGGAAGGAGTAGTTAGTAACTAAATACAATAAAAAAAACACTAAATACAATAGTTAGTAATGTGTAGTTTACAACACTCTTTGTAAAACGGAAAGAGTAGTTAATAACTAAATACAATAAAAAAACACTAAATACAATTAAAATGAAAAGAAAAGGAAATTGATCTAATTTGACAAAAATAATAATACAAAAAAATCATTTAAATACCAAGAAGTTGACAAGAAAATTAAATTAAATACCAAGGAAAACATTTATTAGATGTCACAAACACACAATTATAAGGCAAAGGCAAAGACAAGTGGCCTACTTGAATTCATAAAATAAAAATCCAAAGAAAAAACATTTATTAGATGTTGATTTAAGGAAGTGAAGAAGACATCTGATAAAAGAGAACAGTTAGTGAGAAAGTGATGCATCTCTGTATTACTAACGAAGGGTGGCACACATTTCTTGCTTTTACATCGTACCTAACCCAAGTAACTAGAAGAATTTTAGTGACGCATACATTCTTCATATGCAACGTATGCATTACCATTTGTATTATACTATTATGTAATATTTCTTTTGATTAGTTGGCTTTATTTATATAATTAAAATACCATTTGTATTAATATGTTATCAACTTATGATCAATTGACCATTTGTATTTTATAGTATTGGTTGAATTTTATAACTTTTTTTTTTTTTTTACAACAAGGTTGAATTTTATAACTAAGTATTAAATAATGTATTTTTACACAGTGGCTGATCAAATTTTTTTTTTTTATTAGAGGCACTTTCAATAAAAACATATTTATTTTAACAGTCAGGGGCACATTTTTTATAAATTCACTAATATAACATATTAAAATATATATTTTTAAGTTTATTCAATAAAAAAAATAAAAAAAGAGTAGGGAGCACATGACCCCATATCCACTCACCTGCATCCGCCCCTGTTTTTACATGTTAAAAAAAAATGAAAAAAATTATAATTATATGAATTCTTAACTTCTGCACTTTTAAAAAAGATCTTATAAAAAGAAAGAAGTATTTTTTTTAACAAACATTCTTTAAAATTAAAAACGCAAATACATTTATTTTCTTTCGGTTTTTATTCCAGATTATGGTTTGAAGAAAATGATTATTATAAGCACATAATGCTATTTATGCAAAATAATATTATCACTAATATATAACAAATAATCGTATTCACATCCGCATATGCAAAAAAAAAAAAACACAATCCAATCCATTCTTAAAAATAGAAAACTATTAAGTTTTCGGGTTACTGTAGACTGTTAGAGCAAAATCCAAATTGAATAGTCTAGTAAATAGCCAAAGACCTCAAATCTGCAACCAGATTTCTTTAAAGAGCCAATTACGTCTATTTATCCAAAATAAATTGTTGAATGTCTCATTTTCCTAACGATCTAGATTCAAAGATGTTGACATATCATTTTCCTAACGATCAAACGAAATCCTCGATCTCAATAATCGCTGTAATTTAATCAAAAAAAAAAATTTCCACCAACAAAACTCCAAAACAGGCAATATTCACTTTAATGAAGAGCTCCACACATCACATTCCAATGTCCGAAATTAACCAAGCAAAAAAATATCAGAGATTGTTGGGCCATCACGAATTAACGGTCCAACTCCACCAGTCGATAATAATGGAAATGAGTTTCTTACCCTTTTTTACAATATTCCCTTGTTTTCCATACACAGTAGCTTACATGAGGCAGTTTTTGATTAATCCCATCAAGAACAGACTCCAACCTAAACTCGCGACTGCAAAATGTTAATCTGTTGAAAAGAAAAATCTTATAGTAATTCAATGGACATTATATTAGTGGATGTCTACAACAAAAATGAATAGCCAGAACAATTTAGGATAACATATGAGCGTCGATATGAAGCTTTTCGATGATCAAATCATACTAAAATTCCATAAATGGTCGGAAAATTGGAAGTCGAGATAAATACAAAGAACATTGGTTATGAAGTAGGTCGACGGATGGTTAGTTTCTGCATGGGATTGGGACTTTGGGAGTTTAAGTGCCATAAGAAGCGAATGTGGGACTTATACGAATGCGAACGTGGTATTCACATAAAAGCATGGTGTTTTCAATGTTTTTACTTGAAATTATCATACTGTGATCGAGCTCTGGATTTTTCGGATTCACATGGTACTTAAAGAAAAAATATGAGCTGGTTTGCGTTTGGGATTGGCCCCATTACCTAGACAAAATGGCAATATTACATTAAATTTTATCTCCACATTAATTACTAGATCAACTACTTGCTGCACGGTTGTAATTTAGGATTGGCGCCTTGTAATGCACATCCTTTTTGTCATGACTCATGAGTAATATGATAACATCTTTAGTTTTATACATTTCAGATATGTCCCTAATAGTTTTCTTATTACTGATTACTCCTAATTTACTAAGACTAATGAGATATAATTAATAAGAAGAAGACTAAAGAGCGGATGAGGAGCTGACGTGGAAGTGAGTGACGTCATCTGACAGTGAAGGGCACGTGACACTCGCCAGCAAGATAACAGTAGTGAGAATCCAATTCCAACTAAACTTTTTTTTTTCTTTCTCCTTGCGGCTACTTTTGTCTTTTACCGTTGCCAACTTTTCACCGTCCCTTCTTATCTCGATCCACACGCGCCTTGACATGCGCGTGTCTTTCAACATTATGTATTATCCACTGGTTAAGACCGGTTACACCGATTAAACCAAACTGATACATCTATCTGTTAACTAACAAGTAACAAACTAACAACTAATTATTATTCTCGTTCTTGTCCTAAAACTTGACAACTTTGAAACAAGTCTCTCTGGTCGGATTTAGAATCTTGAAGAAGATCAAGACGCAACTTGTCCCAAACATCATAAAGGGATAGGATACAGTTGTACACATCATGGAGTTAAATCATTGATTAATTAATAGAGTTTTCATTGATTAATTATGTGAATATTATTCACATGGTTATAGTACTCATCTGAAGCAACAGTAGCATTGGTCAAAATTTGTTTATTAAAAAATCAAAAACCCCCATGAACAGAGTTTCCTGGTTGTTTCAGTAAAAGAAGAACTATCTCTTTCTCATAGAAACCCGAAACCCGATTTCTGAATTTTTTTGGTTTCTCTTGTTCTTTCCTCTTGATTCGCAGGTTTTGGTCCCACACTTTTCCCTGAAATTAGAAAAAAGTTTCCTTTTTTTTCGTTCTGGGGATATTTGGTTCTTTCTTTGAATTCCTCGAATGTCGAGCTGATTCTCGAGTGTCAAATTATTGAGGGTAAATTTAAAACTTTCATTGACGAAAGAAAGTTCATTGAACCTTAGCTCTTACGTTGCGTCTCAAATCTCATTCTCACCCACATAAAAATAAAAATAAAGTTTGGATTTTTATTCCCCGGATTGGGTTTGTGTAATTAAAGGAAAAGACTTTCCCCTTTACGTTTAATTCACCAACCATTAAGATCGTTGATGACGATTCCTCTACTTTTTCAGTAAGTTTTTCTTTCTCTTCTCTTCTCGAGATTGCTACTTGTTTAATTCCCCTTCGATTGGTTATGAATCTTGTCGCTTTCATCATGGTTTTTGCTCGATTTTGATGGCTTGTTTACAGATTCCTAGACATCGTCGTGTTCGATTAGTATTGGTTACTTCATTCTGACTTCGAACAATGGCTGCTAAGAGATCTATTACAGAGTGGAGCTGTTCTAAGATCTACTGTCTCCTTCTTCCTCTGCTCTTGTCTTTACTGATTTGTACTCCTTCAGTCTCCTTTGCTGCTACTAACCCTGATGATGGTAAGTACATTTTTCCCAAGCTAATCTCAGGAAAAAACTGCAATTTTGCTTTAGATTTACTCTCTTTTTTTTTGTCTCATCTTTGAATTGAGAGTTTATTGGAGATACTATTTTTAATGAGATCTGTGTATATTGCTTGAGGAATTTCAGATTTTCTTCCACAGTTTTCTGATAATTAAGCAACATTGTTGTAATTGAATCAGTTGCTGCAATTAACGGCTTATTCGCCGCTCTTCGTGGACCTATTCTTCCTGGTTGGATTGCTTCTGGTGGAGACCCATGTGGTGAAGCTTGGCAAGGGGTTATCTGCAATGGTTCAGCTATAATAAGCATGTACGGTCTTTTCAAAGATAACAACTCTTGAGTTATCTTGTCTATCTTTGATTATCTCTGATAATTCTTTCTTGAATGGTTACAGAACTGTAAATGCCGCGAATTTGGAAGGAGAGCTTGGTGACAACTTAGCTAAGTTCACTTCTATCAGGGGAATGTAAGCATTTGACCAAAACAAAAGTGTGACAATTTTGACAAGTCTTAATCTTTTGTATTTGCCATCTCCAGAGACTTCAGCAACAATCGCATTGGAGGAATCATACCTTCTAATTTGCCGGTTACATTGCAGCATTTGTACGTATACGCCTTAGCAATGTATATTTTCTCGTATAGGGTTTGTTGCTTTGAACAGTTTGTATCAGTATCATGATGGTCTTTACTTTTTGGCAGTTTTCTTTCAGCTAATCAGTTCACCGGAAGCATCCCCGAATCTTTAGGAACATTGAGTTTTCTGAATGACATGTAAGTTCTTATTACTCCCAATATCTATTTCCAATTATCTGTTCTAATGAAAATCAAACCATTTCGTTTCAGGTCTTTAAACGATAACCTTCTCTCAGGAGAGCTACCTGATGTGTTTCAAAACCTTGTTGGGCTGATTAATCTGTATGCATCTTTTTTTCTACTTTGGTGAACGGTTACTATTTCTATGAGTTGTTTTAGTGATCTAATATCTTTATGCAGAGATATATCAACTAACAATCTAAGCGGCACATTGCCTCCTTCAATGGAGAGTTTATCAACTCTTACAACATTGTAAGTTCTGGTCTTTTTCACACTTCCCGCTTAGTCTCTCTTGGTCTTAACCATAACTGATATCTGAGTTTCTCAGACGTGTTCAGAACAATCAGCTATCAGGAACTCTAGACGTTCTTCAAGGCCTTCCTCTTCATGACTTGTAATGTTTCTTTCTCTCACAAAATGTTCCAACTCCTAAGCAAATGATGATCCTTAAAAAATGTCTTATCTTGGAAACAGAAACATAGAGAATAACCTCTTCTCTGGACCCATACCGGAAAAACTCCTAGGCATTCCGGCATTCCTGTAAGTGCTCTCTAGTTTTATGTTTCACTGATCCTATAGGGACATTTCAGGGTTTTTTTCAGTTGCTCTTGTGTATGCTTAAAATAATTGGTGATGCAGAAAGGGAAGGAAACCTGTTCAATTCCACCACAATTGCACCATCAATGTCTCCGTCTATATCTCCAACAAAACCAGCTCCAACGCGACCATTTTTTGGAGTTCCACCACCTCCTGCAACTGAGAGGAATCGAGGGAAAGCTGCTCATGGACCTTCTGCTTCAGAAGGATCGACCTCCAGGAATTCAAAAGCGCAAAACAACTCTTCACATACTAAACGGATAGTCCTCATAGCATTCGCTG